GAAATTGAGGAAGCGTGTCAGAAGGATGCTGAAATGCAAGCTCTTATAACGGCCATTAGAAAAAACCGCTGGCCACGAAAACCAGCTGGTAACACTAACAACAATAAGAACGATAATAACATCGATCTAACGCCATATCACAGTATTTGTAACGAACTAACAGTTTCAGATAACGGTATCGTACTACGAGGAAACCGACTTGTTATGCCCAAGAAACTACGAAGCCACACATTAAATATTGCACATGCGCAACACCAGGGTATCGTGAAAACTAAAACCTTACTTCGAACAAAAGTATGGTGGCCGGGAATAGATCGCCAGGTTGAAACGCTTATCGCTTCCTGTATACACTGTCAAGCTGCAAACAATTCCAAAATATTTGAACCGCTGAAAATGACCACAATGCCATCCAAACCATGGCAAGTAATTCATGGGGATTTTTGTGGACCATTCCCCAGTGGGGACTATCTTTTAGTGTTAATGGATGAACATTCCCGATTTCCTGAGGTCGAAATCATTCGATCAACTACAACCGCGGTCACTATTGGAAAGCTTGAGAAAATATTTTCGGTTCATGGATTCCCAATTGAATTTGTTAGCGATAATGGTCCACCTTTTAACGGACACGAATTCCACAACTATTTAGCACGAAATGGAATCAAACATCGAAAGATTACGCCATACTGGCCGCAGGACAATGCACACGTAGAACGGTTTATGAGGACTATTGAAAAATCAGTTAGAATTGCTCACTCACAAGGAAAGAATTGGAAAACGGAACTTTATCGTTTTCTCCTAGATTACCGCACAACACCACATGTTACTGCAGGAATTGCACCGGCAGATCTACTATTCAACCGACAAATACGTAACAGACTTCCAGATAGCAACGCGATGATCCCAGAAGGGAAAGGGGGAAATCAGGATAAAACGTCTCCAACTACAAGTCGTGAAGCTGTACTTCAACGCGATGCTATAGCTCTCATTTTTTGAACAACATCGGGGGTTATTTTACCTATTCGTTTCTTTTTAAAAGGTGCGTGCTTATCCAGAATTTGTGTAAAGTTAGTTAGCCACATGGACCACATTACATTGGGATCGTCGGACGAGCTAATTTCATTCCAATTAACTTCATTTAAGTCATTCAAAAATTCATTGTCATTAAAATGTTTAAAGTGTCGTTTACGTGTAAATGAATTCGCAAATTGCCTTTGCCAGGTAGATTTACGGACAAAATATATAAGCGAATGATCACTTATACCAAGTGACAGGACACCTGAAACCTTTATCTTGTCTGGAGTATTTGTGATACAAAGATCAAGTAAGGATTGCGAAGTACTAGTCACTCTTGTTGGTAGTTCGGTTATGTGTTGTGTGAGATTGTAAATGTCAAAAATGTCTAATAATTCAAGAGTATTTGCATGAGGCGTTTGAGAAAGCAAATCACAATTAAAATCTCCGAGTAAATACAATTCAGAATTTTCAGTATCAATTTTGTCAATAATCTCCTGGAATAGAGGAAATAAGTGTAGTGCAGAGTTAGGAGGTCTATACCAAGTACCTACCAGAAACGGCCTTGAACAAGGGTTAGAAATCTGAACGAATATCAATTCAAGATCTTTGTTTGCTAACTGATCATCACGAATTTTAAAGTTAAGATTACTTTTTACATATAAACACACTCCACCGCCATTGCGGCCATGATGCTGTCTATCTCTTCTAACAACATCATAACCCGGGATACTTATTTCATTCGCGATCGTGATAGATGAGTCAAGTTTAATTAGTTTCGTTAATAGCTAGTACATCAATATTAGATCTTAAACTATGTATAAAAAAAACGTAGCTGATCTATATGTGCAACCAGACTGTTGATATTTAGGCATGCAATAGACAACCCACGACTACAAAGTTCAGGTATAGATTTGGTATTAGAATTAAACATTGTAGGGTGAGCAGCTACTGTACAAACCGACTCCCTATCGGCAAATTCCTAGCTTGACTTGATATAACGAGATATATTTTTAGCTAATTGAGCTGTCGGCTGTCCCTTTGCGGTTGAGATGTAGGCCTCTTGAGTTGAGACAAGTAGCGTTAATCAGTTTATGGTCAATAAATTTCCACTTACTCTTACAGCAAATAGCGTTAATTAACTTATTTGTTCATGTTTGTTCATTAACTTACTTGTTCTTGTTCATTACTATCACCCTACTATTAATTAAAATAAATTATTTGGGTCCAACCTGAAATCAACCTCGTTCCCAGGCTCTTCCCTATGACCTGAAATAGCTTCGTTGTATCCGAATCTTCTATTTTAAGTTACGCCCGTTCTTCATAAAACACTAATTGAAGAATTCCTAGACCGCTAAAAAAGTAAACTTTCCCTGTTTGTCATGTTGCACCACACACGTTTTGTCACGCCGAGTCACCCACGCTTTGTCATCCCGCTTCCCTTTGCGACCCCCTGGCCCCGGGCCTCCCGCCTTGCTATCGTTTCCGTTCCACACTACTACTTCTGCACAAGAGACAAGGGAAGATGAAATTTGAAAAGAAAATACATATTGTGCTTTGTCTTCGTAAGCCTCGGACTCAGAAGAAAAGAAATGCTTTATTTTAGAACCTTTTTGATTTGCCTGTAAATCACAATTGCATATTCGATGTTTACAGTCAATTGCAGAAGTTAAATACCAACTCAATTTTCTATTCAATGTTCTATGGGAAATTCCATTCCTGCAAACAGACGTTCACCCGCCCATGCTTAATGTACAAAATGACAGAATGTTTGATAAAGAATAAAAACTATATGATAAGTCAGACCTGAAAGGACAGCAGGGAGTCTTTCTAAGAAAATTAAAACTCCACGGAGATTCGTTTGGCTGTATCTTACATGCAGTATCCATGAACATGAGTACACCGCACACCGGAAGACGCATGCGCATGTCAAGTAGCAACAATAACAAAAAAATGTAAACAATAGTTAAGGTGGCTTTTCGACTAAAAAATGACTATAGGGTCGCTTTAAATTCTAATGTATGGAAGTCATTAGTTCCACTCTAGTGCTCAGCAAACAAAGAACGATACGGTTGAAGTGGAAAACGGACTTTACGAAAAATTATGACGTGTCGTGCCCAGTCAACTTGCCTTTGCAGACTTAACAAAACAAGACGCTCTATGGAGCGTTAACTCGCTGGGGCTATACAACTACGCACATTACTGTACAATGTGACATGATACATACAGTACACAGCTCTTCCAATTGAGATTTAAGGTTTTCCCCGAGCTAAGCGGAAAAGTCGAATACGAGCGCGAAAGGCTTAATAACACAGTACTAAAATGCGGTAGGCCCTACAAGTAAAGTTATATTTTAATAGTACGCTACATTCTTCTTCAAAACCGTAACGTTCAAAATAAAATATTTTGGGACTTTTTGGCTCAAAATACTATCAAAATGAAGCGAGACGAATCCACTGGTATACGGCCGAAAAAGAGAAAACCAATGATACCAAAGTTATCAAGGGTCAAACGTACTGCATTTTTAAAATTAGTTTAATAATTTTGAGCGATTGGCAACAATACAATTTCGCTTGGCATTTAAAGACAAAGGCCATAAATCGCTAGAACACTGTTGTTTAGTAATACATTTGACATTCGCAATAGTACAATTTCTAACGCTGAATCGAACGGTGGTATTTTTATCCTTTATTATTGGGCATTATGCATTACAAATACACTATAAAACGTACTGCGAGCGATTTGTCAACAAATACAACTTCGCTTGATTTTCAATTCAAAGGCCATAAATCGCTAGAATACTCACATCTGTAAGTACAATTTCTTACGCTGAATCGAACGGTGGTATTTCTATCCTCATTGCGCCATTAGGCATTACAAATACAAGGACAAACCTGTGGACAAACGTAGTGCGAGTGATTTGTGATCAACATTACGTACTGCGAGCGATTTTTCAACAATACAATTTCGCTCCATTTTCAAAGGCCATAAATCGCTAGAATACGGGTGTTTAGTAATACACTTGACATCCATAAGTACAATTTCTTACGCTGAATCGAACGGTGTCGCTTTCTTCTCAAATATAAAGCAGCGCCGTCAAACGTATATACTTTTATAAACTTGCGATTTGCGAATTGCGAAGGTTGCTGTTTCCATGCGAAATTCCTTGTAAAATTGTTCAATTTTCCCGAATTTTCCCCCAAATGGAGGGCTATTTATGGATAATTTGGGTAAAATTAGCAGGAGCCTTATGGATAATTGGGGGGAAATTAGGCAGCTCATTAATATTCTATTTTGTAGCTATCAACGACGATCGGAAATCTGACATCCACCAAAAATGCGTGCCGAAACCTATACTCGTCTGAGGCACAGGTGCCCCAGCGAGTAATAACTGTAGCGGCCCTCCATATGTTTTGGTTGGGCAGCAACTAAAAATATGTTTTTAACAGTATGTTTTTGTTGGACAGATGTCACAGATTGAACTAAAAGATTGAACAGAGTAGCAATGTCATACAGGAGCGTAGGAAGCATCAAAAGATTGGGGGAGCACCGACTTCCAAGAGCACTTTGGAAATTGAAAAGGGCACCTAAAAATTTTTTCCCGGAAATGTTGGTGACGGGAGGGGGGAGGGGGTGAGGAAAGAAAAATTTTCCCGTCATACCATACCGAAATTGCACATTTTTGACCAAATTTTTTTTAATACATCGAAATTTCCAAACAAAAGGGGCACCTTTGATGTTAATTTAGTATTTGCATCGACATTAGCTTGTACAAAAAGGGCACTTCTCATCACACAAAAGGGCACTTTAGCCTGAAAATTAGCGTGCTCCCTGTGCCCCCCTGTTCCTACGCCCCTGCATACGGACACAGTCACGCACGTGCAGTCAACACACAGGCAAACACATAGTCACGCGACAACTGTCAGTTCTGAAATGTTTTGTGTAAACATTATAGAAATATTTTGAATAAACAACAAATGTTAATTTAGTGTTTGATCAGGTGCATAACATCACAGACGTTTTCTGATTGGTCGAGAGGCGACCAGGTGCCTATATAAGCTGACTCGTCGATCGTGCATGAATAAGGTGAAGCTTGACTAAGCAATAAAGAAGATCTTTTTGTGTGATCAACTAGAAAGAAAAATGCAGCAAACTACAACTATCCAAACTCAAGAAAAGATGGGACGACGAAGAAAAATCTCAGCACACAACATCTTTCCGAGTCATAATGGTGCTTTATCCCATGTTGTTGCATTTGTCGCCACTCTGGGTTTTGTTATTTATTCTTCCAGCGACAGTAAAGAAAAGAAAGAATCGTTTATAAGAAAACATCTAGATTCAACTATAAATTTTATTTATCTGTTAACGTTTGCTACGTGGGTTGGCATTCAAGTTTGGGTGCAAGTGTCAGGTAAGATCCATCTCTAATATTTGAGTACACCCAAAATTAAAGTTGTATTGAAAAGTGTCTAAAATTATTTTTTAGAGCGTTCGTTCAACTTTAACGCCTGTTTTCCATTCCAAAACGGGTAGAGCTCAACGTTCAATATAGGAATTATTTAATTAGAGATTACGAGCTTTCCACTATCAGATCTATAACCTTCAAGAGAACGTTGTGATTCATGATGACTGATGTATAATTAATGTTTTTGATCAGTTATGGGTTTTCCCGGGGAAGCTAATTTTCTCTGAAGTATTTATTAATGAAGGTATTTCTGTTTGTTCCCACAGGCTTCACAATGTTTAAAACGTTGACCAGAAGCGCGTTTGCGCAAGTCCAAAGTCGAATCTTCCCAATGTATTTCATATCTGGCATAATAATGAGTACTATCTCGCTCTTCACTCATCTGTACATGAATCCCGTGAAATCATGGCAGGAAGACAGTTTATCTTTGTATCAGGTGTGTAACTCGCGGCATTTGTGCTTTTCCATGCGATGTATTGTACATCAATCGTTCTCAGGCCGTGCGACCAGGCCTTTTCCTGACATGAGCTTCGTCGCATGGCACGAGGAAGGCTATCGTTTGGCCAATACATAGTTATGACATACAGCAATCTTGTCTTCCGTCAAAAAGGCGCTCTATAACCTTAGTCCGTACTCTTTCTCATTTTACTGAATTATGCCAGTCAATTTAAGAATTGAATTTCACAGATTGAAGACAAGATCAATGTATATAGGTTAAAAATAATAAATGTTTAAAAAACATTTGTGGCAAAACAGGAAGTTAAATATAAATGTCTTCAACTAACAGCTGGCCCTGGGAGAAAGAAATCAATGCATATCTTTTTTCTTAAACAAAGTGACTCGGCGGCTGTACGTGTCGCTTTGTGCTGTTCTCTACCACTGCAACAGTACGTAGTTTGCTCGCAGCGACATGTTGTACACTAATCTAATAGATAAATTACAATGGAAAGATTTTCATCCTATTTTCAACAACTGTCAAGTTCCGTTTTCGGCCTTTTGTGGCACTTTCGTCTTTAGCAAGCTTTCTCCTTATGTGCGAAACCAAAATCCATCCTATATAAATTAATACACAGGATTAGGTTTAGAGTACCTTGTCTATATATCAAGACAGCCTCTGTTATCATGGCTGCTGTGAAATAATGCAAGACATAGTCGGCGATGTGAAATAGACTGGACATATCATGTATTTCTATCAAACCATGCAGACTTAAGCTGAATTTCCACTTACAGAGAAATATTTCGGATTTCCATTTCGTCGTCGAAATATTTTGCTTGATTTCTTTTGAATTGTGACCATCCAAATTCTAATTGACTGTTCACAATTCAAAAGAAATTGAGCGAAAAATGTCGACAACGAAATCTTTCTTGCAAGTGGAAGTCCAGCTTTAGTCTTTAGCGAACTTATTGATTAAAATAACGAATATGTAATTTTCCATGTATAGGCACTAAGTATCTCTGTTTCCTTGCTGTGTTCACTTGTGAATTACTTCTACCTTGGACCTGAGACAATCAGGATGGTGCAGATCAGAGCACAACGTGTAAAGTTTCTCGGAATTGAAGATGGTGTTGGTCCAGTTAGCCTAAAACTCGTAGAGCATGATTTTACGTACAGGGAAATAAAACAAAGATTTATCAAAATGCATGCAGCATGTTCTATGGTGAATGTTATATGTTATGGTGCTTGTGGTGTCAATCTGTGGTGCTTGGCTAGTAAGCAAGTCTTGTGTTAGGTTTATACTGGATAAACATGCTTCCGACTGCCGCGTGAGTTGCGTCTGAACTACACTGGAAAAGGCAACAGGGCGGAGTGTTACTAGTACATCAAAATCGGTGAACATTGTCGGTGCTGTTTGGAGTGATAGTTGATAGTATTTCAATTCATTTTGTCGTGCACGACAATGGAATGCATACATGAACACACTGGAAACAGTAAACCCATACTAGACATACTACCTAATGACTCGATTTAAACGGTATTTATTTTCATACTTGTTCAGTTTAGTTGAATTATTTTTCATATTGTAAAAAACAGTAATATAAGCACTCACTGTGGTTATTATGAAAGTTTAGAAAAGGATGGCAACGTAAATTAAAGTACATACATACAGTAGCTGCATGTTTCTGGTAGTATATTTCTGCCAATAACACCACAGTAGAGTGCATGATAAATGTATCATTATTATTGGTGTAAATATGGTTAATTGTGAATAAATATGCTGGTGCAATCTAGCATATGTTCGTTTATCAAATGATACACAGGTATCACGAATCATCAGTGAGTGTAATAAATATTTCTTTCATGATCTCCTTCACTGTTATACGTACAGCATACGTATATAATTAACATACATTCTCTTAACTGGGGTGAAATACCTTTCCTATTGGTTTTAATCATGCAGTTTTACTGGTGAATTATTGTATGCCGAACAGACGGAACAAGTAAGGGATAATTATTTTCCATGGTTTAGAACTGACAATTCACGGCTTTCCTTTCATCAGTATGATGGAAAAAGTGAATACTGTCATTTTTAAGACAAAAATTAAACTTAATCTAAAATTTCATTCGAATAATTTCTTTCGATCTGATCATTATTAAGCTGATTAGTTTATGTTAGTATTTCGTTGGCATTTTTCTACTAAAAGTCTTCCAGACGACCAGCACTGGCGGACACTAGGGCTGAGGTTTCCAATTTTTTCCTGAACTTTTTTTGCGCGAGATAAATTTTTGAAATTGGCTTAAATTCATGGGAGGGTATGCGCATTTGCTCTCATGAATGCCTAGAAGGGTTCTTAAAATTTTTGTTATACACTTGTTGAACAACAGTCATGCGCTTTTATATTCTGCTCCTTCAAAGGCCTGTATATAATATCCACCATAGTCTCATATCTCTTTATAGTACAACCAATACTATACCATATTATTCTATGTTTACAAGATTAGAACAAATTAACCAATATCAATAGGCGTGATCTCAGATGTGAGAGATTTATAACTGCCAGTTGTACTGCTAGATGACGAGTGTCTCCTTTGTCTTTGTCTTTGTCTTTGTCTTTGGAATTCAAACTTCATGTTCTTGTCGTCTGGTTCTGGAAACACTGTCACTCCTGAGGGTGAAACTGGATCCGTGTTTTGTTTCTTGATATATTCGTGTAAATATGCACGAGTTGCTCTTCTACCAGACTAAAAAAAATTTTAATAAAATTTTTAATAAATTACCATGTTGGTTACGTGAACGATTCTGTGTAGCAACAGAAAGAGATGAAAGGGTGTACGTGCATTGTTTTCTGGTTAGTTGAGACACAAACAGTAACAACTAGTGCGCTTTTATTTATGCATGCCGATTTAAACAAATACGGTATATTGCTGTGTTGGTGTAATGTACTCAGGTGAATAAGATGTTTGTGTGATGTTACTCTGAGTGTATATCCACACCGGGCAGGCTTGAAAAATATGCCTGACCACGGTGGGAATCGAAC